GCCCTTGGTTACAAAGTGGTCTTCTCGATATCGTGGGGTATGTACTTCTCATGACACCACTTTACGCTCCGGGCTATAGGCATATAGCTTCTATGGAGAATACTGATCCTTAGACTTATGGCTAATACATCACAGGCCACTGTCGAAGACCTCGACCCTCCAGCCGCACTCTCACTCAACCCCTCCGACGCCATCTCCGTCGCCCTCATGTCCGCCTTTGAGCGCGACTACACGCATCTTACCATCGTCGATGCCGACACCCGCGCGTTGCTCGGCTACATATCCATTCCTCACCTTCAATCCCTTCTCGACTCAGGCAAGGTCAAGCCTGAAGATCAGCTCTCAGCCGCCATGACACGCTTCCAGCGCAAGGGCCGTACCTACCAGGTCATCACCATGGAGACGACCCTCGAGGAGCTTGAGAACTTCTTCCGTGGCGGCGCACCTGATGGACCGTGGAAGCAGGAATTTGCCGTTATCACGGATGAGAAGAGGAGGTTTGTCTTGGGCGTCGCGACAGTACAGGACCTCGAGGAGTTTGTGAAACGAAGACCCGAGTAAAGTGGTTATTTTTAGCATGTGATATCAATGCCAGAGCTGGGACCCAAATACCGAGGAACAAAGGCCGCGGGAATATAGCGCAAGGAGCAAAAGAAAACAAGAATCAAGCATCATGGATGGGCGTTTGGGAAATAATGGCCAGAGTATCATGGGGGGCTACGGTAGGCTCATAACAGCCAGCCAGGCAGGAAAGCTGCTTTCAACATAGCGCAATATAAGGGATAATACACATTTGCGAACACAAATCTTGTGTGGTGCAACTGGTGCATAGAAACTCAGTTTAGGATGACTTGGTTATCGGTCTGTCAAATTATATTTGTCTCATGAGCAACTATTGCATGAGTCACTGAGCGATAAACAAGCATTGTTACCGTCAGTCGTCTATACTAGGACAAGTAATGTTTGGGTGCAACCCCATCTCTAAGCCTGGTAGTCGTAGATGAGCTTGGCGGTGACCTTCTTGTCACCCTTGGTCACCAAGATGTGCCTCACATATCTCCTCTCGCCGTTAATCTCCTCGAAGCCCCAGATCTGATTAGCGACCCAGCCGTTGTCGACGCTTTCAGCGATGCTCTGGATGAACTTGCCATCGCCCTCGGTAAGCCAGCCAGTCTTGAGGAAGTCCTCCTCAATCTCATCAAGAGTGACGAACCTAGATCGACCCCTGACGGTGCCGAAGAGCCAGTCCGTGTGCTCGCGGTTGTTGAAGTCGAGGCAGCGGTTCTCGTGAGTGCTGCTCAGGCCAGAGGCAGACTGGGTGATGTCGATGTGGGTGAAAACGTCGGTTGATGTGTTGGGGGGCTTGGGAGGGGCGTTGTACTGGTTGATATCAAGGGTGATGGTAGCCAAGCCAATTCCCTTACGAGTGAGGTATCCGATGCCCTGTAAGCTGAGGATGGGCTCAGAGCTATCGGAGAGAGTCTTGTTCTATTGCGAACCAGTGTCAGTGGCAAGATACAGGGGTACAGTATGTTGAAGCGGGGGAGCGCAGCATACGAGAACCCATTTACCACTGAGGTCAGAAGTGGTCTTTTCGGCGGGAGCAGCCATTGTTGTGTTGCGTTGTGGTTGATAGGAATATCAAGATGTGGGTATTCGTGTAGATATTGTTTGACGAGGAAGAAATGACCTTTGGTAGGTCGTTGGTGGAATTGATAAGTAATAAGGCTGCGTTGCTGGCAGATGGTGGATCGAAATGACGCTATCAAGGATTCAGAGCTCGCAGATGTTATGGTCCCTCCTCAGAATATTAGACATGCCACAAATGACCTGTACTAGGTACCTACAGTTGAGACACGCAACACTTTCACTGAGTGGGAAGTATACCTAAGGTAGGTAGGTAGGCAGGTAAGTTCAATGTCGAACCAGACAACTGGCCCCTAGGCCCTGCAGAGTCTTGCCTTATATACCTATCTTTTGTTTGCAAACAACGAGGCTGAGTGAATGAATGATTGCGTTTGTTTATCACAAGCAACGCCGAGAGAGGCGCATGATCGCCGAGGTCAAAAACATCCATGGCTAATCGCAGAGTCACGTTTCATTGAATTCCGTAAAGAAAACCACGGCCCAGTTCGAGCTATCTTTCCAAGCATTTACCAAAATAGTAGGTGTTCAATCTTCGCAAGACAGATAGTAGGGGTGCGTCTATGAATTGCTGTCTATAGTGCGGGGGAAAGCTACGTTAAAAAGAAGCTGAGCGGCGATGGCACAAGACAAAAGACAAGACAGGAATCCCATTCGAAACTTGAGATGACGGGAATAATTCGAATAAGGAAGTTGAGCCGCGAATGCGCATACTGTAGAGTAATTATCCGTAAAATACCTAGGTAGCTTCGGATTTGCCAAGAAGCGGACTTCTCTTTGGTCCCGGTGGGTGGCTCTGGAAATGGAGGCCATCAGAATCCCCTCCATTTTACCACAACACATGGATGCTTTACTTGCATCATATCATGACAACTCACCATGAGTGACTACTAGGTACCTAGGCGTGTAGTAGATTCCCTAGGTACTCCGTACCACCTTATACAAGTCTCAGTTGTCAGTCGTCGTTGCAAGAATGACGTCTTCCCTCCCTCTTCTCTTATTCATCATATAACATTGCCCCTTGCAGTAGGTGCTTATTCACTTGGCATGGATGGCAGCATCACCCCAACACGTCAAACCCTCATATTCTCAAAATTTCACGACGTCGACCAAGACTCTCCCCCAGAGTCTTGTCCCCGCATTGCCAAACCTCAGTCTCCACCTTGGCATGGATATCGCAACTCCAACTTCACCATTTCGCTTCCACATGTTGTTTAGTCACCATCACAAGCCTCGGCTCAAGTCATGGCAAGCATTCTTTTCTATCCTTCATATGGGGTTGATCCCCAGATCATCCTACCCTTGTCGGAAAGATTTTCCATGAGCAATAATGCTGTGTACACATAACTACGCCCGACATCACAAGCAGCGAAACCCTCATCTAACATGTAACTAGTATATTTGCCTATAATTATTAGCCTACCCTCGACTTGGGTACACTCATCTCCCACGACCTTTGCCCTCCGTATCCCCTAGCGTCCAGGTCGTGCATGTATAGCATCTTCATCTACCTCCCCAGACATCACCATCACCTGCTGGCTGCGCCAATTGTCATCTGACACTAAACCAGCTGAAGCTTCGACCCTGTCAAGTCTTGTTGGCCCTGCTCCTCATGCCGTTGGCTATTGTCGTCCCGGGTATCGTCCGTCTCTTCCAGCAACAGGCGGGTTCGTCGCTAAGTCGAATTCATGCAAGAATCAAGCCAAAATCAAATGCGAATCTTCATCCATGCATGCATGCATACGCACGCCATACAAATCATGTCATGTCACGTTGCCGTCTTCGACCATTTCCCAGCCAGCCCCTCTCAAGGCCACCACTTCATCTTCTTGTAGCTCTCGATCACCTCCTCGATCAGCTCCTTCGTGAGGGCAGGTTTCTTGTACTCAAAACCCAATAGTGTCTTGAGCCGCGTTCCGTCCATACTAAGGTCTGTATCCTTGAGTAATTCCTTCTCCATGAATGGAGTCAGCGGGCCCGGTCGTGTAATGCCCGCATCTGCGAGGAGGTCGGCCCATGGTCCCAGAAGCTCATCATTAACATCGTCCACAACACTATCGAGGTTGAGTCGAGCAAATGTGCTGATAAGCTGGCCCTGGAAACCTGTCTCAATCTTGAAGATATCACCAATAATTGTCGCGATGGTGCCCTGACTTGTCGCACCCTCATCCACGATGTTGAAGATGGGGATCTTGCCCATACTGGCCTCGTCCCACTTCGCCTTGCCTGCATCAAACCATGCTGCGATTTCCCACAAAGCCCGCGTTACATCGTCAATATGTGCTGTGTTGGTTCGGAGGTCCTTGGTCCAAAGCCACTTCATTTCGTCTTCAAGGTGTTGATAAGTGCGAGCCATGCACAATGCCGTCGCGACCCACTGTGAGGCATAAGGTCCATAGACGTGCGGTAAACGCACGATGATGAGGTTGAGGCTGCACTGTGCATTAGTGAATTGAATGCTCAAAAGTCATGGTCCCACTATACCCTTCAATTTTGGAAAGCTCCTCCTCAGCCTGCAACTTAAACACAGCGATCCGGTTCCAAGGTTTGAGTTTATCTCCCTCCTTGCTTGGTGATGAGTCGGACTTGTACACCATGCCTGTGCTCAGTTCAACAAAGGCCTTGACTCCTCTCTTGGCCGCCTCTTTGCCCACTGCAATAGAGAGGTTCAATGATCGAAGCTTGTAGACCTCATCCTCCTGTGAGTACCTCGTCTCACCTCCACAGTTAAAAACATAGTCCCATTGTTTTCCATCTGGTCGGTCAAAAATTCGTGCCAATCCTTCTGGAAAGAGGGGAAACATGCAGTTAGCCAACTAGTCATACATAAGGCAGCCACCTGCACCAGCAAGCGGGGCTGCCAGTTAACAGAGTAAGCAGCGTAGAAACTCACCAGGTCTGCTGGCATCAGCCTGCATGAATTTGTCTTGTGAGCAGGCTTCAGAGAACTCAGGAGCTAGCCATGCCAGTTGAGGGAGTACTTTGTCAACGAGCCTCACGTCGGAAGCGAGCTCGTTCTGGTGGATATGGAGGGCCAGAAAGCGGCCAATGTAGCCAAGCCCTCCAATAATCAAGACCGAAGGCTTCTCGGCCATGTTCGTGAGAGCTATGTGGTTCGGGTCGTGCTACAATCGTGCGTAAACGTGGGGTCAAGTTGACGGTGCAGGTGCCTCGACGTCGGCGGCGCGAAGGCGATATATGGAAAGGTATAGATGAAATGTACAACAAAACACGCTTCAGCTCTGCAGGTCTAGTGAGGTGCCTTGGCGGAATTCGCTTCTAATGTGAACGAGACAGACAAATGGTTGCTGTGCGAGGAATATTGAGTCCAAGTGTCAGGACAAGATTGTTCGGCTTCAGGGGGTTAGAAGGTTGTAGCTGAGTAAATGGAAACCGGCCAAGAGGTACCACGGGGTGCCGAAGGTGGACGGATATGCGACTCGGTGTGATTTAGCGTTGGTCGAAGCGAGGTGGTTCGGGTTTCTCGTGGATAGAGAGCGGGCTGGGCAGTGACCTAGCACAGTAGTTTGATCGAGAGGAGGACCGTAACCTGGCACGGAGTCACGTAAGTAAGTATATATTAGGGCGCCATGGGGCAAAGGAAGTGCTTGGTTCGGACATACAGTAGCACTGATCTAGCACTTTTATATCGAGCCCCAAAAGTGCTGGTGCGGCGACGGCGTAGAGACGATGTGCGGGAGCAAAGGGGAACAAGTTTGATCCAAGGCGGGAAGGCAACGGGAGGACGGACGGAAGACGGAACCAGATGGGCGGGATGGTATGGGATGGGAGGTGGGAGTGGAGGGAAACACGATCAACAGATGTAGCAATTTCAACTTTGCGAGGGCACGAGGCGGCGCACCAACCGCTCTCTGTGACGAGCGATGGATAAACAGGGGTCTGAACTAAAGTCAAGAGACCCAACTCTGGATCAAAATCTTTCTTGGACGAGGCCACACGACCGAGCCTGAGGTGAGCTTGGAAAGAAATAGCTAGACCCTTGGGGCCCTCGAAATTCCGTCGATGAGGGGTGGACTTGATGGACTGAAGAGGTTGTGAAGTGGATCGCTTGTTGAGAAAGACGAGGGGGAGAATCGGCCAGTGTAAGAGTGAGTGGGATGCAATGTGGACTCCTTTTCCAGCAAAAGGGGCCTAAGTCTTGATGCTGGCTGCTCTCTAGTTTAATGAGGGGCGTGCTGTGGGTTTATGGGCGTCAAAGGCCCTGTCAAAAAGCTCGATCTTGTGCCCTACCGAATATCAGGCACCAAGAAGTTGCTCATCTTACATGTTATTCCATCAGCCGGTTCTGAGACTGAGACTCATGTTTCACAGTATCCCGTGGGCGACCACGCCTTCTTTTATGCCCTAATATTAACCAAGTGTTATACATATCTGGGTAGTTTGCGGTCATGCATGTATAAGATGCACGGCAAACCGAAGGGAGCCATGCTAGCCATGGCCTGAAAGATGAGTTAGAATGCATATGTGGGCGGCTTGTGGAGGGGTCTTTCTACTCCGATGTACATGTACAGTACATGGGTAAGTTGTGTCAAGAGGGAGCCCACTCCCATCAGTCCATTCCTAGACTCAGGTCACGGCTCTGGTCAGAGCAGTCTTTTTTTCTGGGCTTGAGCTGAGATCCATTGCCGCTTCGTTAACTCGAGATGGACTCGAATCTTCCTTCTTTCCCATCAGTTCCTCAAAGAAGACTTGGCAAGAGGCTGACATTGACATTTCAAGATGCGAGTCAGGGCCAAAGAAGGCTTGAAAGTGCTGGGTCGGTGGGGGGTAACCGTGCCGTAGCTGGCGGAGACTTGATGCGAATTGGCGGTCATGCGGCTGGACAGTTACTGTAATTATTTAATTCAGAGGTGCAGGACGGATTTGCAGGACGTGCCCCCGTTCATCATATCGCCGGCCTAGCACCTAGCTACCGAGCCTGCAGTGGGCCTCCATGTTCGTCATTGTCACTGCGACCAGGGACCAGGGACATGCCGACAGCAGGGACTGGGGTCAAGGGTCAAGGAGCATGACGATCGCCGTCCTTGCCTGAGACTACCATTATTAGGTCTTTGCATTTTCTTGCTCACTCTGCGAGTTGTCAACAGCTTGACATAATTCAAGTCGAGCCGAGAGGGAACTGTGAGCCTGTGAGGGAACTTTTCGTTTGTGATATATATTAGGCGACGGTTTCGCTTGCTTGTACGGAGTAGTCATAAAGTCTCTGGTCAGACTGACCTCTTCTGTGGTAATTACCAATACTATTGAACGATGATAAACTCATTACCCCATGGCTAGGGCCATGAGTAAGGGTATTAAAAAAAAAAACCTCAGCACTTGGTTGGCGAGGGCGCTTAATGTTTGAAATCCATATCTGGCACCCAGCATGGCGCAAATCATGTTCGTATTGGGTGTCAATTCTGAGTACACATAAACGACGAGGCTTATTTTGGTCATGCCAGAGTACCGAAGAATGCCATGGTGCCAGACTATTGCAGGTCGTGGCCGATATCCTTCAAGACGCCAAGCCGTAACTGTTCGTGAGGATTGGCGATTGTTGACTGTCACTCGATACATCCAGTGCATACAGTACACCAGAGACCTGATTTTAGCGCTGGGTGCCGGCATGTGCGCCGATCCAAGATCCCGTTCGGGCCGCCAACAGGGCCATCTTGATCTTTGCCAGACGGGCAGAACTGGAAGCGTTGTACATATGTACTGTAACCTTGACAGTTAGTCAACTGACGCCAAGCTTGGACGTGTGATAACAAATTCTTGCCAGCGGTTCTGTACCGCTGTACCTGAATTTCAGGGGCAGAACACGGGTCTGTCATGTGGGCATGTGGCAAGCGGCAGGAACGAGATCAGGAACAGGAACATAATGATGCGGGGCCCTTTCTAGAATTCTTCCATTTGTGTCTCTACCAATGACGAAAAGAAGAGATATTAAAAAAGAATTGGTGACAACTGTAGTAGCTAGCAAAAATGGTTGTGGTAGTTGAACCACCTGTCGTTCAGAGTCTTACAACCAACCCAAGTGTCAAGAGCGCAGAAGTCACCATCATGCCTTCTCAGTCAGATTGTACTGATATCCAGGGCGTTGGCAGGTACAGCTACCTAGCTGTACCTGCCGTACCGGGAGGTTCAGGCACCTAAGTGCACCTCACTCCAGTCTCACAGCGAACATGCATGTCAGATGCACAACACAGACCTTATTGCGGCCATGAAGCACATGGGAAAGAAGAGAAATCGAGAGTATCGTGATCCTTGTCGCTCTCAGATCAACCGCTCAACATGGCTTCGATTTACTGCCTTCCATATGTATGTACTATCGCCAGGACACGTTCCACGATTTCGAACGCCCTGCTCATGTACCCTTGATCCTCCAGTTCAGCTACCTACCTGCCAAGGTTTCGTTGTCTCTATCATATCTGACATAAAAATGACCACTGCGTCTTACATACAACCAGGTTCCCCGTCTTCAGCCAGGCCTCAAACTCACGCCCATCTCGAGTCAAGGGTGGACCATCCTTCATCTCTTGGGTATATAGAATGCATCGGGTAACAGGCTCAGTGGAAAGCAGCGGCGAGGTTTCTGCTAACTACGCAGCCTGCCAATGCATTTCCACGGCAGTGCAGAACATGTCATCTACCTGACTCAGAAGGTCCTGAATCCACGTCCTTAGCGCACCATGGTGTTCGTATGCTGCAACTATGATGAGCCACTATTTGTCGTCTAGTAGAGCATGACGGGCTAAAGATCACCTCGAAGAAAAGCCGCGAACTGATATGGGCAAAGATATTCACAAACTGTAGTCCTCCTGAGCCTGAGAGCCCATATGGCAAGAAGTCATCTACTATTCAGACATCCCACGCGGTTGACTTTATCCTCGGTCGATGGCCATGAGTTCATGGCGGACCAGCAAGCCCATTGGCTTGGGGGAAAGAACTTGATCGACGTCCAGGGTCAGGCTCGTATCACTTAATCGTGCTAGCCTATACAAGTAGGTTGAGCCAAAGCTGGCTGCCTTGCTTGGGATGTGTCAATATCTTGTCATCTACGGATAAAAACCTGTGATTTGCGGGAAAGCGGGCCGGTCAAGAGCACTCATGTAATTATTCATGGAACCAGAGCTAACGCTATCATATCCTATTGGAATTCAAAGTCCAATAAGCATGTTGATGTGATTTCCTTCGTCATCATAGGGTTTAGACACTGCCCAAGGGTCATGCTCTACCTCCTGGTCATGGCCACGAGTCCTTCAATGCAAACGCTAGATGAAAGAAAATGAGTATGCCAATCAATCTGCACATCTATCAAGTCTCGCTCCTAGTGCAATCAAAGGTCAATACTAGCACAGGATGCCACCACGGTGCAGTACATGTATCTCGAGACAGTCTATCGAGGGTCTTGCTCTTCAAAATATCGAGTGAATCGGTTTGGACGCATCTCATCTTCTCATGCTTCCGATGAGTTCACGCTGAGCCTCGCGATCCCGTGCCCCCTCACTCAAGCTTCCAATGCTCCGGAGATCGCCCACCACGTCCTTGGCTTTGCCAAAGTATACCTCCTGCAGGAGATTGCGCATCTTGAGTTCCATATCCTCAACCAATCGTCCCACATTAGCGATGTGGCTATCATCGTTGTCAACAGGTAGATCCTGCTCAACCTGGCGTGTCATGTTGCCACTAAGGTCCATCTCGCCTAGGTTGCCACCAGCAGTAGATAGGGTCAGGATCACTGTCGATGTGAGCTTATAGTGTGTGCTTCTTCCTCGCTCAATTGCCTCGAAGACATGGATGGAGTCCCATACACCTTCGGAGTTGCCGCCTTGGGGGGAAGCTAAAAGGGGATATGTAGTCAGCGTTGACGGTTCGAACACAGTATGGCACTTGTCAGGGGAACTTCATACACTTCTTGAGAAGCACGACCCCTGCGAATCCGTCATCAAGGTTCCAGAAGTAAACACTGCTCACACCACCTTCGTAGTATAAATCGCGATAGACATCGAAGGCCTCGTTCGCCTTGACCTCCATCTTGCGAACACGTTCGCTCGGAATCGCACCCTCTCCAGCGCCTTCGTTACCACCAGCACCTACACCGCCTGATCCAGCTTCATCCAGAGGGGGGTCGAATTGGTTTGACCATGGGGAGCGGTAGCTGTCTCCATCGCGGTTGTAGTCGCAGAGGAGGTAGTCTCGACCGGTCTGCTTGCAGCGGCGCACGGTCAAGGGCTGATCGACGGACGACAGAAGGTCTTCGGTCAGATCTGGCGCGATGGAGATGATGGCGTTGAGGTGGTCTGTCGTCTGCTTAGGGTTGAGACGGCGGAGAAGGTCTCTGCAAATTGAACAGTCAGCGACACGGGGAGGACGTCATTGTGCGGGAGGTTTGAAGTGCTTACAGAGCGGAGTCAAAGGGGTCGACAGCCATGATTATGGACTTTCGAGGGCTTTGGCTGCGGTAATTGAGAGACTGTGTAAGATTGAAAGGTTGTTGTTGTTTAGGTACTGAAGACGGCGCTAGTGGTTCAGGCGGTCCTCAGGTCGAGGTGAAGCTCTGCGACGTTATGGAGTAGCGGGGTCATGGAGCTCCGTGTGGAGTACGTACTGCAAGCCCATGTAAGTGGTAGCTACTAACCTTAGTACCGTACCTAAGCTCATGGAAGATTAGATCCTATAGTTACTCCTACAGACGTTACGAGTTTATTAAAGGTTAGGTTTATGGCAGAAGATCAATCAAGGTAGGCTGAAAATCGATAGGAAACTGGACGTATACCGAAGTGATTCTATCAGTTCAAGTAATAATGCCTCGTCACTTAAAACCTACTAACACTCCTCTTGACCGGGGAGTAAGGCTGTGAAGCCACAAGTTAAAGGAAAGAAAGTCAATTAATGGAGACAAAAACACTCTCAAGAAACAACAAACCCTTGATGATGCCTAGCAAAGCAGAATAACACTATAACCCAGCCCAGAGGCAGGTAACCACTAGCTCCCTAACCTCTACCCAACTCGATACCAATATAAGCTAATCAACCTACTTCCCGAGTTTCCCTCTCAGTCGGCAGGTTTCCAGGCTCTCTCCCCTGACCCATCCGGCCCAGTAGACTATACTACCTCCGCTCTTTTGCGTGGCATTTAATTCAACATCATAGATAAATAATAGCAAAACAAACGCATCTTCCTCACCGCGCGCAAGTTCCAAGACCATCTTCCAATCTCACAGCATAGCCATATTCGCCTCCAACGCCGCGCCCGTGATGTCCACCAGTGGGCGAATCGCCAAGAAAGTCACTTCGAAATTTTCACAAAAGAAACCTTAACCATTGACCATCCCAATGAGCCGTATCGAGTTTACAGCTGCGTCGGGCCATCCATGTTGTCCGCAGGTCATCAGTAACATGTCAGAGCACCGCATGGCCCCCCTAAGCAATGTCGAGTTGCACCTTGTAGACTCAAGGAGTCTGCTTACCGGAGCAGACTCGGGGTAGCTACGTGGTCATGATGTTGAATGCTTAGTCAATGCTGGAACCACACAGCAGACAATGAGCCTTCTCGGTCCAGGTCTTGTCACCACCCGTTACGTTCTCGCGCAGGTCACGAATCTCCCATGCTGTGGGGCCGTCTTGCATCTTGAGAGTGGCTTCGAAAAGTCCCAGATATGGCTTGGAGTCTGCAGCCTTCTTCTTGCGACCTTTCTTGGCCGATCCTTTAGCTGATGCGGTGGTGATAGATCGGGATGGCGTTGGCCCAGGTGTAGGGGTTTCTGTTTCGCGAGGTGTTTCGCGAGCAGTCTTTTTGACGTGGACGTTATCGCTCGTTTCGCCGGAGCGGACATCGATCGTAGGCTGTGTCTCTTTCTCCCCTGCGTCAGTGGGCGATAGAGGGCGCGTCGCCTCCTCGGGCTTCTCCTCCTTAACGGCCGATCCCTCGGTTCGATGGGGCTTATCTGTTCCTAGTCGCTCGTAGACTTGCAGGAGGATTTCGTGAGCCATACATTCGTGATGCATCCACTTCCCGCAACTCGGGCTCGTGCACCCAATCAGGGTCTTGTCAGGGTTCGCAGGTGTTTGACATTTACACATGAGCTCAACGGACTAGAGGGTCATCAGTACTTTCGGAAACTAAATGAGATATAGAGAGACATACTGAGAGTTGCATGTTGCGGCAGTCGTACGCTTGACGCCAATAAAGCGCGTCTTGGATCTCCTCGTCATCTGACTCAATCCATTGGTTGACGGTGACGGGTCCTGTAACACTGACAACATTGATAATGTCCACTAGAAAAAGTGTTAGTCGCATCAGTATAACATCGGTCAGCAATCTAGAACATACTATGATTAGAAGCGATCAACTCATTGTTGCCATGATACGGCTGGCGGCCGTGAACGGTCTTTTTACCGTCGAGTGTTCCATACGGGAGTTCGTCCGGCCAGTACATCCAATAAACACGTGCATAGACGTGGTGCTCATCGGAAGCACGGATCTCGAGGATACGCGCGACCCAGTCATTATTGCTCTTCTTGTAAATACCCTTGCCGTCACCTTGAGCCTTTTGTTGTTCAATCGTTACCTCGTTGGCAACATTGACAAAGCCTTCACTATAATACTTGACACTATTGACTGCCAAGAGTTAGCCATAAGCCCGTACAGCGGACGGCGCCGAGAATTCATCGGAGACTTACGGACGAAGCTGTTGTAGCGCGTCATATCTTGCCATCGTTTTCCTGGCTCGACAGTGTAGTACAAGTCCATGTTCTCGTGCGTTTTGAAATTGCCCGTTGGGGAGAAAGGGGAGATTTGAATCTGGACTCGTTTGTCGTCATCTTGGCCGTCGCGCTTCCGCTTCTTGTTTTTTTGACGATCCGCCTGAGTAGCCGCAGGGCCAGTCGCGTAAGTAATCGTGAAAGGGCACTCAGCGCGATTCTCCTCCCCGACGGATCGCGATCTCTTGCGATTGCTCATTGTGGCGGCTTGATGCGGTTGGGTATGACCGCGTCGGGAGTGGAGAGAAGGAGGGGTTTGCAGAGGAACGACAAGGCGCGCGAAGAAGTGACGCGGAAATGGAAGAAAAGGTTATATAGAAATGGAGAGAGAATTGATTCAACTGGGTTTTCGATATCGCGATCTGTGCTGAGCCGAGCCCAAGCTGCCTTTGAGCAACAAGCCGCGGCTTGCGATGATGTCCTGTGCGCAACGAAAGAGACTCGATTTGTCTGGGAGAGCAACGTCGCAATCTGCGGAAGAACTAAGAACTGAGCCAAAAGCCCAAAAGACTTGCGTCACGTGACCGAACTGGCACTTGGGCCACCTAAACACCTAAGCTGATGGACGGAGTTCAGTCCTGCCTAGGTACGGAAGAGCGACTAGCGCCCAGCATTAGCCAACGTGTCTGGACAAGCCTTGGCTTAGTAGCGTAGGTAGCTTATGAGAGGCGCAGGGTGAAGGAGTCTTGGCGCGATTCAGTCTGGGTTTTCGGAACCAACCTTAGTCCAGTGATGAGAGTCGATAATAGCCTTGATAAAGGTCAAGTGATTGGGTGAGTGAGGCGCAAGCGCAGAGTTTTGAAGAGTCGCGGTTTGTTGTTAAATGGAGCTTGTTTGTTCCAAGGTGGAAAGCAACAAGAAGAGTGAGGGATAGAGAGAGGGCAAATGCAGGCGCGTTTGCGTTACATTGAGCGTAAACTTGGGCCCCGGAAATCCGTGCAGGGAAGTCTGCTTCTAGAAACTCCGATCCAATAGGTTAGTAGTTTACCTACTACCTATGGTACCTTAAGTGTAAAGCTCACGTTATTCATCGCTAGGGGTACTTCCCTTACCTCACACAGACATGTATATAGAGCGCCCCAACTCTTAAAGCAAAAAGCAAAATACTGTGGTATATTGATTAACTTGAGGTATTGGCAATGCTGAACTTAGGTCCTAGTCTAGCAATTATAAATCGTAGCCAAATTATGATATCACCAGTCATCCAAGTAAACGCCGCCGCTATGCTACCTTATCCATCCAAGAATCAACAGCTATGTGAGCTAGGGTCTTGCGTGTTCATCGACAATACCATCTTCCTGCTCTCTCTGGTAGTCTGCCAGCATTCCACGACGCTCAGGTTCATGTTCATCATCGTCTGCTTCCTCCACAGGAGATACTGCCATTGACTCGGCGAGCTTCATGCCTTCTCTTCTACCTCGCTCTACGTTGATGAACCAGATCAATGGCGCAGGAAAACCAACTAATGCTGCCAAAAACCAGAAAGCCGGGCGAATCGTGCCAGTTCTATCAATGATAGCACCAACGATCGTCGGGCCAAAGACACTGGATCCCTTGTCCGTTATAGCGTACAAGGCGTAGAACGCTGCCTCGGATCCGGGTGGAATAAGCTCGCCGTACAGAGAGCGGCAGTAACCACTCAAACCTCCGAGCACAACTCCATATACAGCCGCCAGTGGATACATCTCCCAGGGTTGTTGGAGGCCAAATACACCCCATTCTTTAACAAAGGGAAGGTAACCCAGCAAACCGTAAAGGGGGATCAGCTCAAACAAGGCAATGCAGACAAGAATGGTTTGATGGGCTTGGAGGTTAAAGAGCCGTGAGATCCACGACCATCCGAAGGCGCCGAATACCCCTGCCAGAGTTGAAATGACATTTATCATACCAAGCGCCCACGGCTTCATGTGGAGTTGGGTTTTGGCGAATAGAATCGCGGTAGATGACGTGGTTGCGATCGCATCAGACAGGAGAAACCATCCAGCAAGGAACAAAACTATGTCCAGCAGGCGTCTAGCCTGTTGGACAGTTTTGAACAGGCTCTTCCATGCGTACAATATGTACGCAAGTCCTGCCATGATGCCTTTGCGCCCATCATCAGCCAATGGAGGCCCAGGGCGGGGCCGCAACCACATGGCGGCGGGAATAGTGAAGATGGTCCACCAAAGTCCGACCATGAATAATACGACTCGTTGGCCCCATGTGGTGTTATGCATGGCGATGAGAACAGCAATACAGACGCATTGCAGGAAGAGCGCGGCAATATAGCCGGTGCCAATTCCGATGGCTGAGATCCGCGTTGACAGTTGCATTTCCTTGGAAGTGATTTCCGCATGGCTTGCTGTTGGTTTCAGCCTCTCGCCGTCTTCAGGCTGTAACAGAGGTGAGGTTGTTGAAACTCTTGACGCCTGGAGCTCGCCCACTGAGTCATCTAAAGGGCGCGACTCGAATTCAGAATTGTCAAGATCTGGAGTATCAGCAACGTTGACCTCGATAACATCGGGATGGTATCGCACAAGTAGCGGAAGAAAAGAGTTCAGTAATACGAAGGACGCGCCAAAGGAAGTGTTGGAGATGACGGTCAAGAGGGCGCCGAGAATGTAGTTGTCTTTTGTAATGAAGATGTAGGACATGACGGCGAAGCTCCCAATCCAGGCGAAGCTGAGA